CTTCTTCTTCTTCTTCTTCTTCTTCTTCTTCTTCTTCTTCTTCTTCTCTCTCTCTCTTTCTCTCTCTCTCTCTCTCTCTCTGAACTGCATTTCTCTCAGTGGCTGTATTTTCAGTGTTCTGTTTCCTTCTGTGTGTCTTAATATGTTTTTAAACCTCCTGGTGAATTTTTTAACTCACTTGTTTTGCCATATTTGAGCTTTACCCATTATATGAGTTTTCACCTTGTGACCCACACATACATTCAATTATTATGTGTCAAGAAAAAAAAACAAACTAGATATTAATTGTTGTCAAAGGGTTAGCTCTGGTGAGAAGAGAAGGACAGAGCAGAGGGAGGTGCCTTGTGAAGGGTCTCCTGGTGTTGGCAGTGCTCTATAGGTTGGCTGCTATGGGAGAATGAAGAGTCCATGTCTGTGAGCAAATTGCATCACACACACACACACACACACACACACACACACATACAAAATCTGACAGCGATCAGAGAATGGATCAATATCCATATCCTGATTGGAATATTGAACAATAGTTTTGCAAGACGTTACCATGGGAGGAAATCAGATAAAGAGAACTCTTGGTATTGTTTCTTATTCTTACCTTGCATTGTTCCGCATTGGCACAGGAAAGCTTACATTAAGAAGCCCCTGTCTCATGGAACTCCCGTGAGGGTCATATTAGGTTGCACTTGGCAAAGGGAATTCCCTTGCAGCTGCTGGTTCTTCTCAGCTGTCCCAGCGCTGCCCGTGCTGAGCACGTAGCTCGGAATGGAGACTTTATTCAGGTGGGGAGTTGCACAAGAGTGAGAGGCTATTTTTTTAAGTACGAGCTGAACGGCACTCAAAGATGGAGCTGCAGCCCACAGTGTGCTGGCTTGTCGAGGCGCCACATGCAGAGTTCAAACCCAGACAGGACCTCGAGCTTTTCAACTCTAAGCTCACTACCCTCAATGAAGGCGTTTTGTTCTCTCTTCAGAACAGCCCAGAGAAAACATCTGAAGTGGAGTGTGGGGACTTTTACAACAGTGGGGATAGAGCAACTGTTGACGAGGACGGATACTTCTGGTTCTTGGGGAGGGAAGATGATGTCATCAATGCTTCTGGGTAGGTGTGGATGGTCCTGGGCTGGTTCTTGGCATGCTCAAATGCCTTATGGTATCTTGCCTGCCTGCATTACTCCGTGCCTTGGTGATGGGACCCTTAGCCTGACTCTGAAAAAAGCCATGTCAAGAATACGTTAATACCTGGGTACCTGGACACCCTGCAGCCAAAAGAATCAATTACTTAAAATGAAGTTTGAGGTGAAGTAAGACATCACATAGTTATGAGGAGGAGCCAAGATTGGAGTGACACGGGCCTGTAACCCCAGGTGCTCGGAAGATTGAGGCAGAAGGAACCCAAATACAAGGCTGCCTGAGCAATAGAGTAATTTCAAGACCAGCCTGGGCAACTTACTAAAACCTTTTCTATCTCAGAATTTGAAAAGGGGGCTGGGGATACCCCTCAGTAATAAAGCTCTTGCCTTCCATGTGTGAGGGTCTAGGTTCAGTCCCTAGTGCCATCAAAGAAAGAAAGGAGGAGGGGCTATAAAACAGATAAATTACCACGCTGAGATGCGAAAAGAGGACACAGCATTTGCTAGGACCCGAGTCAAGGATCCTGGGGCCTCTGGTGCTGAGAGAGGCTAATGTAGCCAAACGCACAGAGCTCCACAAGGAGCCATCACTCTGCCACTTCCCTCACCAAAGGCACAAAGTGAGCCATCGCCAGGAACATCTGAGCCACATAGCTTTAATGTTAAATGCCCCAGTCTTCATATTTGGGGTCCAAAATACTTCTGGCTGTTTACGACCTCCACCCTCAGTGTCAAGGTGTAAGGGGTGTTTCTCTGCAGCCCCTGCATCCGCTCAGAAGTTACTTCTCTAGGTACCGCATCGGGCCTACAGAGGTGGAGAACGCCTTGGCGGAGCACCCAGCGGTGGCAGAATCTGCCGTGGTGAGCAGCCCAGACAAGAATCGAGGAGAGGTAAGGAGGGCGCAGAAGCCCATTGTTGAAAGCAGGAGCTAGAGTGACAGGGGTAGGCAGACTTCCAAGGTCTTGGCATAACCCCGGAACCCAGGATTGGAGCTCAGGCTGCTGGTGTGTGTGTGTGTGTGTGTGTGTGTGTGTGTGTGTGTGTGTGTGTG